CTAGGGGTGGCAACAAGCTTTTTTATTGAAGGTCCCGTTTGAAGACTATGCTGATGTATTCATCTTGATTATTAATGAGACAGCCTAAAATTCCTGTGCTTATTTACAGGAGATCCTTTGACGACACCCGAGAAGTGTGTTGGTGTCTTGGTCCCAGAGCAAGTCCAATGTCTTCGCCGGGACCTGCGCCATCCCCGTCAACCGTCCTAGCTTGCCCAACCACCACCGGTCCCGTTCTTTCTGCATCATCCTCTGCGACCAACCGACGTTCTCCGAACAAGAATAATCCCGCAATTTGTTCCGTTTCTGTGGGTGTGCCAGTGGCACAGGCGGCGTCCGCAGCCCGACCGTCCGACACTCCGCCGCGCACGCAGTTTTCCAGCCACTTCATTTCATCAGGCAATAGTCAGTCAACTAGCCCCAGTTATGCTTCACCTCCCGATCTGAACCCCAGTGAAATTGGCCAACCGGCCCTACCGCTGGACATGGAACTTGGTACCGCATGCTACGTTGGAATGGAAGAGCCGAAGTCATCAGATTTCGATCACGCTTTTCATTGCCAGGTGGCTCTCGGTGTGATGGATCGGTACACCTCCGGCCTGGCTCTTCAAGCCACTGTGGAGAGTCAGGACACCTTCCGCCAACGTCTCCAAAATGAAATGCTTGACTGGCTACGTTATGCACCCACTCTCGCTCGAAGGGCCGTTTGTACATCCACTCTCACCGGCGGTGTCGGTGTCAGCAGTGGTGTCAATCTTTTGAAGGCACGCGACAACGCCGTTCACTTTCCCTCCGCCTCATCCTCGCCTTCTTTGAAGCCGCTGCACTCGCGAGCAAATCAGAGTCCAGTACCATCCACAGCAACCGGTACCACCGCCTCCGCTATCACTGACCTCACATGCTCGGCGCTCATTGTCAACGTGGACACCTCGACTGTTGAGGTACGTACGCGGACGACACTATTGCCGCACAGACAGCTGGCTGCAGCATATGCAAGCGTGTGTGTATGTATGCATGTGTAAATGAGTTTACGTGATGATCACGCATCTGTTGCCGCCGCTGCCAGTGCGGTGCTTTGATGGTGACACGGTGAGCCTTTTCTGGCAACAACACGCTGTTACGCTTGACCTTCGCGGCCTCGCGTGCACTGCTTGGTGTGTGCACACCCATTCAAATTCATTCGTGTCGTATGCATGCCTTCCAGAACGTTTATGCGCCTGCTGTGTCGCCACTACTACATTATCTTTCCGAGGGGTGACTAATAGCCGTATCGTCACCGCAACGCTTCTTATTGTCGTATGTGTTAACATATATTCCTATTCCACCATATACGATTCTGTCGTATGGGCTTTGGAGAGGAATTATGCTGTTTTTTGGCCAATTTTTGGGGTTCCGCGCAAACGTTTTGAAGATACGGCAGGCTGCGGCGGGCCTACTTTAATAGGCAGCATGTGTGCGTAGAATAGCAGTAAGTGGTGCAGCTCGCATTCACATTGGGGAACAGAACGCCACTCGGCATAAAATCTGGGCAAGACAGGACGGTACTGGCTGAATTCTGTTTTCACCTAGGTGTGTTTCATGAGCTGACGTCGTTCCACATTGAAGCAACTCGATAGGTATCTCGCACAACATGTGTTGGAAGACGCAAAAATATACTGGGCGAGGACATCAGCATGAAGGCAAGAATGAAGGTTGGAGTGAAGAGCATACGAGCACGAAAACCTCCTGCAAAATTTACGTTTCCAATGGCCCTGAGGGAGAACTGCATTTCCTATGCGATTAACCAATTCTACACTCATTTTACACTGCACAGTATGGGCTTGTTGAGAGCGAAGTGTGTAGCACCAGATAGAACACCATGCTAATCAGTTCCCAGTCTACGAGAGAGCAGAAATCCCTCATTGTTTAGTCTAAGGAAAGGGGAGCGGTTCTCATGTTAACTTCCAAGCCGTCAGGATACTTTTTCCTTACCTATAATGCGAGACTGTTTCAGTTTTTAAACACTAGTTTGCATTGGTGCATAGGGAGCAGAAGAAAGCTCAGGTCGCATGTTTTTCGACGTGTCATCTTAGAAATTCACCCAAAATGCTCAGTTAGTCACGGAAGCGAGAGGAAACTTTTTAGGGTTTATTGAGAAAAGCAAACCGGAGTTAGAATGTTTGTTGCATATTTGCCGTCAACCGGTCATTGTTCCGTAGCTCAATGCCCCAAACACGGGTTAAGAGTTTTGTCAGGTTGCCAGACTAAGAATTCGATTTTATTGATGTTCCACCTGCAGACAATGCACTTGTTCAGATATCTCTTGTGGACGTCCCTGCACCTAATTGGGTCTGACGATCAACCTCAAACAATAACTGGGATATGAACGCTTCTGCCTACGTTTCATCCCTTCAAAAAAACCTGAATAGATAACATGGGATGAATTCTGACCAGCAACTGTTCCGTGGAGCTCCGTCTAGTCTATGCAGACTGGTAATTTCGAAAATATCCTCCGCGTGAGTACGTTGCTTGCGTTTGTGATCATCTTCAGAAGCAGCGTGCAGAATGATTGGAAAAGCAGTATCTCCTGCCGAGACCATTTTCGACGTTGGACCGTTTGAAATAAACGGAACCCCTCTGCATTTGTATGGACTGGTCAGTGGGTTTGTGCCCTCACACGAAGTTGAGATCGGTGAAACCACACATCTCTTAGCCCATCAGACAGGGCCCCACTCGAGACGACAATCATAACAAGTCTAGCCTGAAAGCACAGTCCCTTTTGTTTCAGTTGAACGGGAGTGCTTTTTGTATTTTTATTGACAGTAGCGGATACCGTGCCACGGACCCAGCAAGCTGTACGAAAGGAGATATACCGAGAACGTCGGTGCCGAGAGGACGAGCGCTTGTCCTAGAGTTGATATGTTTGTGTGACTTCCAGTGGTCATTATGGATGGTCATTACTGTGTGCATATACTGATCATGTATTATTTCAGTTGTTGTTTTTTGAATCAGTACTTTTGTTCTTTTTTTCTGTCGGTAGCCATTCTTAGAAGCAAACATAGTTCGATCGTAGAGGGATAAATCGCGATTATACTCTTAAAATCGGAGAAAGCTGCCAAAATGATCCCGATAACGTTGCATTCGCACAGAGCTAGCTCGTACAGTTAGTTGGTGGCTGGTTCCGTGACTGACAGGCTCTTGTCAGTTGTCCTTGCAAACACAATCCCCCCGGCAGTCCCTGCGCGCGACTGGTGTCGGGGCCTATTTGTGTTTCGCACTGGTTGTGCTCTCTTTCCCCCTTATATCACCGCACTCGCCAAGGACCATTCCCTACAACTAACCTGCTGCTTGTTTTGTGATTGGTTGGCCCATTTGAGTAGTCTATGCAAACACGATGGACCGACTAGTTACTCACCCAATCAGCCTATCAGATCACCAGCTGCAGACAGGCCTCCTAGTGCAGGGTTAAACAGAAGCTAGTAAAATGTACTTTGTTTCCACCGAACTGTTTTCAATTGTTCCAACAAACTCGATATCCACGACTGTTTGCTTGCATTAGCACCAGCACCCGGACCACACAACACCACCACCCATCACAAGCATCCAATTGCCACCTTCCATGCAAGTGGGAAGTGCGCTTCTCGGCTCCGTCCCCATGCGGCTCCTCTGCTGCGTGTACGATCCGAGTCGCAGACTATCACGGTGCACTAAAAGCGTTGGCTTTGAAGGTTGCCAACTGACGGCATAATTTTGACCTCGCAGTCGGCCCAGTGTGTGTTTGTGTGGAGCGGCCGACCGGTGGTCTGAGAGTTAGGTTGCAATTGTTACATTTCAATTTGATCGTTACGCACTCCTCCGTGGGATCCAAGCAGGGTGTGCTGGCATACCTAGGGGCGGCTCGGGCCGCGCCAGCCACCTGGGCCCTCTCGCACCTCCGGTATTCTTGACTATGTCTTAACATCGGGTCCAGTGTGGGAGGAGAGAGTGCGATAGATGCTGCGAAAGTACACAATCACTATGAAGGAAATCACGCGCAAGTTACTGTGCTGTGAAACACACACGGTGGACATCTTCGGCATCGACGGTCGAACTGTGGGTTTGATAAGTGTGACCCTCACTTCAGGATGCGGTCTGATGCCTCGGAACAAAGCTGGGTTTAGATTGGTTCACGGCACGTTTTACTCGGACAGCGCAGTCTACGAGAGCCCATAACTACTGCCGAACATGGAAATAGCGTCACGCGTACGTGTGGGTTTTCCCGCCGCACCGTTCTCTGCGCTGTCTGGTTGACAGGCTCGGACAGTGGATTGAAAGAAGAAAGGTAGAGTTTGGCCAGCGCTGATGAATCCGTCTCAACGGCACATCAGCACATTCCCCACTTTAATAGATCTGACGTGATTTAATCTATCGTAGCATACTGGCTTTGAAAGGTTTCAAATTGTCGCCCTAACTCGGTCCTTCTTAGAATCATGCCGTAGTGGCCGGTACATGCTGTGGGACCAGGTTGTGCGTTGTTTGGCTTTTTCGGCCACTGTGCCCATCCCCGCCCCCCCCCCCCGTCGTCTTGGCATTGTTCTGCCATCAGACCAAGGCGGGCGAGAGATAGAGAGAGGAAAGAGTGCGGTAGGTGCCGCGCACGTCTGCCTCGCTGTAAGGTAGTTCATGCGCAGGTAACTGCCCTGCGTCCATTCTCGCTGGGCTTCGTCCGCCAAGGTCGAACTGTCGTCGGGTCTGTGCGCTCAATCTCGCTGGAGCGCCAATAGGTAAGTTTGTACTATAAATTCGAGACTTCATCCAGTGGACTTATTCATTTTTCAACAGGACCTTTCGCGTACCTGAGATTCTAACCACACAGTAGATATATAGCAGTCCATATTGGAGAAGTCAACTTACTGAGTTTTACATTTTGCATTATGTAATTTCCGACAAAAGCACTTTCAGCGACCTGCTCATTCATTCGGAGAAACAGATAAGCATTTAAAATGAGGAGAAGGCTTGTTACTCAGGAAGCTAGAAACAGGCGACTGTGGTGATTTTTGATCGAGAGTCCCAGGGCTGCGACGTATAAATTTCCTTGAAATCATGCTTGCCTGTTGATATTCCGTCCAAGCAAACGTAATTTATTTTACTTAAGAGCTTGTCTAAGAATTCCATAGCCTTCGGCATATACCAGGCGTTCATCGACTTTCTTGTAGCATCCATGCTTTACCACGATGTACGGGATGAGCCTTAGTGATTGGCGTCGCTATGGGACAGAAGTTCACATGGTCATTTCAAGATTTTCTGCCCTAAACGCTCACCCGATTTTTTTCTCGTGTTCGTTAAGGTCCACACAATAGGTCGAAGGTGCGACCGCCCCATTGACTCCTCCTCTTGCAACCATCAGCTGTCTCTGCACTACACAACAAGCCAAAACCGATCTAGGCGCGGAGACGTTGCCGGTGCTGCCCGTCTACTTCCCCGTCCTAGCGAACAGCAACCGACCTTCGTCTGCGACAGTGGCGGCCGGTCTTCTCGTCTGGCTACTGCATCGACGCCGACCTCAGCCTGGGGCCACCGCACTTCCATCGTCAGCGAAAAGTCACTCTCCTCGGTGGTGGAGGAGAATTCAATCAGTGGCGGTAGTAGCAGCACTACCAGCAGCAGCAGCAGTGGTGGTTGCAGTGTCTACCAACGCACGCATACCATTGAGCCGGCACCTTCGTTGATCCGTCTGCTGGAGACCGTGAAACTCCTTTCCGAGCGAGCTGGCTGCCCTGCTTTGGCCCTGCGTCACTTGGAGGCGGGTCTGCAACTGTTCCATACACGCAGTCGCATCTTGACCGACCTCATCCTTACTGAGGGCATTAATGTTCTCAGTCAGCTTGACAGGACGGCAGCAGTCGTGGGGTAAGTTGGGTTCCTTCGCCTCTCGAAGGTTAATTTGTCGGTTTTGGATGCCGGCTAACTTATGCACTGTGTGTGGACGTGACCCGACTCTTCGACGCTCGGTTTTCTGGCCGCAGCTCACCATGGTTCCAGAGGTCAGTGCCGACAAACACATTCACACCTATTTCAGTGACACAACCATTGGCTATCTGGTATGTCCATGGGTGAAAGATGATTGCACAGCCATCAGCGAAGGCTAGGTGTCAAGTAAGCAGACTTATGCCCTTAGTCAACAGAGACAATGCTGCCAAGTTGTGGAGTAGAGGTAAGACATACCGACTGCCTTACAACATACTACGAAACTCGGTAACGAAACAGGGACTCGTGATCCTGAATCGCCATCAAATGGTTTTCCTGTCTTTCGGCCAGACTGCAACACACCGAACATTTAGGGCGATTGTCAAAGATATACCGAAAATTCCTACAACTCTTCATGAGGATTAGGGCCGACTAGATATGTCATGATCGAAACCGTTCCAACTAACTTTACAAGTGTATTTGTGTCGTTACCAACAAGTCTACAGGATCCCTGTGTTGCTTAACCTATGTACTGGGATCTGGTCACATTGTGTTTACGTGATATTGTGGTCAACCTCACTGTTGTTGCCGCCTATGTTATAATGTCAACCATCCTTCTGGATTGTGACACACCCATTTAGGGTGAAGGCAGACCAGGTAGTCTACGGATTTTGTTAGTATCTGTGACTCTGACAGGGATATAGACGGTGGTGCGTCTCTATGACAACTGCAAAAAGTGGGCCTTCGTATAGGGTTCCTTGTCCATCACTGCTCGTCGGCCGCAGTTGCGTTCTTGAATCCATTTATGTTCGCAAACACCTAATTATCACCCCAATGTCAGGCGTCTATGGTCTCTTGCTAAACACCGACAATAGTTAGCACTGTCGACTATATTCTTATGAGGTTTCTAACTAAATATGCGAATTTCGTCGTTCGGCGCCAAGTCTTCGCACTCAATACTAAAGACACAAGAAAACTATTATCGTGCGCTGGTCATTCAGTGAAAGCCCTATTTCAGTGACCCCGGGATCTCCATTTGGACACAATCTAACTGCGTTTTAATTCTAAGTGATTCTGTATCATAAAGTTGTCTTATTCACGTTACTGCAGATTTGCCTACTCCGAACGTATGGATGGCCATACCTGTGACACTGACCGTTTTTGCGCGCCTCTGTATCTTACACTAGGCAGTTTTTAGTGATCTCGACTATCTGTTTAACACTGGACCTTTACTGCCAATAGTGCTTGTCTCTGTAATGCAGGCTTCAGGACTGTCATGCGGCCACGTTGGTGCTAAGTAAGACCAGCGCCACATCTAACAGATTGGTTAGAAAATCGGCAAAGGTTCTGTTCGCAAGACCGATTTATAGCGGACTTTTACCATACGTTTGTTTTATGCGACCAACGTCTCGAAGTCACCTAAAACTAGGTACTAAGCCATGAGGTTTGTTGGCTAAAAGCAAGCCGAACATCGAGCGGTAGACTCGCTTTACTCGCCTTGCTCTCCTTGTTCGCACTGAGTTTGTGAAAAAATAGATTCGGACTCATGCGCCCCGTCGTGTGCTGACCACACCATAAATGTGCTGTCGCTTTTCATCTGCACTTTTATTTGCGATTTTCGTCTTTCAAATCCTTTGTTGTGCCCTTGTTGGTAAAAATCCTGGCCGAGTGCTTATTGTGGACCAGGAGGTGTGGTGGTACGTGTAGGTGCGGGCCCGACTGTGCCAGCCACCTACACCCTCTCCTCTTCTGGTCTTCTTGACTGTGTCTTTACACTGGGGCCCAAGTGGGGGTTAAGGGGAGAGTGTGTTGGATGCTGAGCAAGTCTATTCTCGCTATAAATTAATTCGCGCGCAGGCCACCGTGTCTGAATCGCCTTGTTGTGGCGCACACGGACGCGACGGTCGAACTGCCAGTATTTGCAATTCTCTCCTATCGTCGATAGTGCCTTTCACTCTGCTTTTGTGTTTTAGTTAATTTTGAATTCCCCTGAATTCCTTTTTACCAGTTGCTCATGCTTGCCTGCAGGTGCCCTCGCGGTGACTTGCCCTTGCTGTTATCGATCTCCCGCTCACAATCGTGCAGCGTTGCCGCTCTTCTCCAGATAAATCAGGTCGATTTTCACGATTTCCGCTAAACTCCCCTTCATCTGCACAATTCCACAGTCTCGTAACTGAACCCATATCCCGATTTGTTCTTCGGTGTATTTCATTTATGTCCTTCAGCAGTCGAACTGCAGTCTCTGCCTTCTATTGTACAGTCTTCACTCCTGTATATACCTGTGCCTGCGTCACAACTTATATTTTTAAGGGAATTGCGTCTTTTTACCTCCGTTTGGAGGCTGCGTACGTGTACATATGTATCACTTAAACATGCATAACGGTATACGACCTTGCAGATCGCAGTGTCTTTACACTTTTCCCTCTTGGCATTTGAGTTAGTTGGCCCTTATGATTGGAGATTTATCCCCTCTGCCCGTTGTTAGTTTTCTCACTTTCGGACTATACATATACCTTTAGCCGTTGGTTTTGCTCACACTTCCCTCTTCTACTCTCGCCCTGTGCAATACTATCATCGAGACCACCGCCTTATATGCAACAGTATAAGCATGACTATGTATGCGTAAAGCATCCCCCACCTCTCCTTCTTATTCTGCCGAGATTATCCTTCTATCCCATCGCTTATATAATTTTCAATCGCAGCCACACACCTCCGTGTGTACATACATTAGAACATTTCTTTTCGGACTCCTACAAACAGAAAGTCTCGTGCGCTTGTTTTGTTGACACCATAACCATTGCTTAAGTCACTTGCTGTATTCATACTTTCCACTGTCACTGCTTTCTTCTACCGCTATACTTTGTTGAGTCTGTATCCTGACATGTTTGTGGCGCAAAACAGTTACTTAACTCACCCTTTCCTGCCTAACTGCACATTTAAGCAGGCTGGACGAGAATCGGCCGGCAATTGACGAACCAGATTTCTACCCCTGTTCTTTGCAAAATCCCAACTCAAAATGTTCCGTCGCTGCGGGCACAGCTGTATCAGCTAAGGAAGGGCATTCGAGTTTCTTTATCTGTACGAGGCTAAATGTCCCACGTCTGAACGAGTTCTCTACCAATCTTCTTGGCCACTTCCACGGAACGGACCCATTTATTGCCCACCCAACGAAAGCTGGTGTATGAATCACACCAGGGGCTCGCCTGTATGGCGAACTTACGAGCAGAAAAGCTCGTAAAACGCCCACAACATTATGAGTAGGCCTGAGGTATGGATAGAGCAGGGGCGTGATCAGATATGTGGCTCCACTGAGAAAGCGGGAGACAGGGACTCTTGTAATACGAGGATGGCAGTGATATAGGCTTCTATTGGTGGGCCAGACAAAGCTGGCAGATTGCTGGTTTCGGGAAGCAGAAGTAGAAAAAGTACATTTATGCCATTAGCTCATTTGAATGCGCTAATAGAGCGTGAGCGCGCAATTTCAAATAGTGGAAATTAGGAACTGAGGACGTTGGTCAGATGTGCCGGACGAACTGGTTCAAGCCCATGATGACAAGCTGCACTTAAGGGGAAAGCGTTAGATCCAACTTTCCTGATGGCTGCAACTGAACATATAATATAATTTGGCAAGGTTTATAGCCCAACTCTTTATCCTTGAACGTATATGGAAACCCTAGCCTCTAAACCTTAGCGCTAACCTCTCATCCATAATTCCCTAGGCCGAGCGCTAGCCACAATGGTACCACTTGAGGGAGGCGTGACCGGAAATGAGCGGAAGGGAAGCGGGTTAAACTAAGCCTATCCAAGTGAGTATTTCGTAAAAGTAAAGACTCGGCAGAGCCACATACTCGATCGTCATCTGGAGCAGTTCTGGAATTTATCCGTTTCTGCAAAATCTTCGTGCCACCACTGTCGACGAGATCCTTCGGGTCACGGTCACCACTGGTGATCGAAGACACCGCTTAGAGTAAATAAGATGCCGAATTATTTTTTATCTTATAGCCGTAATGAAAAGTTCGGTAGGTCAGAATTATTGTCTGAGAGGTATTGGAAGCTGACACGATTTTTATAGCCGGAAGTGTGCAAGAGGTGGTTTCATACGAAGAATTGGGTTCAGACAGCCGTTTCAGGGTTGTCGCTGTCGGGAATGTTCTACATCCCGACCATTACATTCGGCAGCTTCGACAACAATAATGTTGCCACCTCCTTGAAAACTGTGACGCACATCCAGACGTGAGGTAGTCGTGGTCTGCACCATCTTTACATGGAAGTACTGGCTACGCTTGGTTGTACAGTGTCGCGTGGCTTTGGGTCCAGTTGGCCCGAGGTGACTGAGTTTTGGACGAAACAGAGTAGAGTGGTTTTCTGAAGGCATCTACCATGTGGGGGGAGGGGGGGAGGCGGGGAAGTTGACGTTTCTCCAGATAAATCAGAGCCAGATGAGTGCCGTCGCGGCTACCACTGAAATAAGGTAAAACGCGATACCAATATTGGCTTTGGCGATGGGAACCTGCTTGATTTTGAAATATCTAGACAGTAAACAATTGGTTACTGGAATTGCCACTCGCTTGGTTCCCTTGATGCTCAACTTCGTATCAGGGAATACGAGGCTGACAACGTCTTATCATCAGGTGGAGCAGTAACGGGTTTGCGAGTACAGCAGTTGCATGGGACATTGAAATTTTTCAACCCAGCTGGATTGGTTCAAAGGCCAACTGATGTTCGTTCGCGCGGTCGTGAATGCAACGCAACTTCCCAGCTTCTATGTTTTAGCGTTATTGTCAGGGTTGATCTATGGATAGTGCGAGGAGCTAAATTGTGATGTCATTAAAATAGCAGTTGCTGGAGGCACTCGCTTCCTCCACCCGGTCGAATCTGTTCATTTCTATCCATGTTGGTGCAAACATTTGAGGAAGGCTCTGTGCTCACTGTAGGTAAGTGTGGCAACTGCTGGTAATTTACCCTGTTCCCTAACATCTTTGCTGCGAGTCAGAGCTCTGGGTTCCCGGGGTGCCGAAAAGGCCAACTTTTTTGTAACTGGTTTGGCGTAGTCACGTGGATTATGACGCTCAAAAGATAGCATCTTGTGGTAGGGAGCGCTCATTGATCGTTCTTACGGAACTCACTCGTTCCGTTGTGCCTTATGGGCTCTCTCTGGAGCCCAGTCAGCAGCCGCACAGCGGCGCATGATATAGGCAGAATGTCATTATCGGTGAGCGCCCCTTACCATTGTATATTCCTGATCGAAACCGACAGGACAACGGGCTCGTGGCCCAGTGGTTGGAGGCGTGGACTTCTAGCTGACAGGTCGCGAGTTCGAACCTCGGGTGTTCCACACTTGGGGGTTGGGTGTGACTGGCTACCAGTTTCCCTTGCTTTTGTCGGTAATGACATTCTGCCTAGATAGCATCTTCTGATCTGCCTCGAAATTAATGAAGATGCGATCAGGGAGGTATTAGTACAGGTCATTCAGCATCCAATTGGCTACTTAAGACACTCACCTGGCGTCCCAGGCCGCGATGGTCGGTGACTCACTCATTAATACTGAGTTGAGAAGCCCAACTCGGTCATCGGGCAGGTCGCCGGTGCTGTCGCTCCTTCTTCTACGAGGTTGCTGTCGAGAAATAGCGTGCAGCAGACACTGAAATAATTTCGGACTTATCCGCCAGCAGTACCGCATCTTCAGATGCTAGTGTATCCGAGGGTTAAACCCGGATGCAGTGCGTTCCTATCACTTTTGGGCTACCGGGCACAAACTGTGTTGGCTGCCATCGGCAGTGGGCGGTGCCGCTAAAGAGCGCCGTGCATCAGAATACAAATCAGTAAATAGCGAGAGAATTAATCGGTCTGCATTAAAACTGCACAACTATTATGGAACAATTCGAGTCTCAGTTTCTGCATATCGATCTCTCTATACGTTAGCTATCGTGCCAGGTATAATAGTAAGTGAACGCTAGTATGGCAAGATATATGCCGAAAAACACGCAGCCCTGAAGTCACGGTGATGGGTATGGGCAACATCCGGGATTCCATCGACAAATTGCTTGACTGTTTTAAAATAAGCGTACCTTTTTTAAGCAAAACAAGGAGAATAATCAGAGCAATAGAGTGGAAATGCAAGCATCCATAAAACTCCAGATTAGGGGTGGAGGTATATGATGGGAGCGTAAACGGCAAATGTATCAAAAGATTTTACGAATTTCAGTAAAGCATTTAACTATGGAGGGAGGATGAGAGATTTGAGCACAGACTAACATTAACTTGCCAGAAAGATGATATTACATTGCGATGAATGTCACAGGGTTCAGACATGAGAGAGGGTTGCAGTCGAGAAAACACATTGGACACATTTTTGATTATTAATCAGACGATCATTTCCTTATAACCGTGCAACGACACGATCCAAGCCATATTTCAAAAACTGAGTGGCTAGCAACCATATCATTAGCATACTTAATATATAGGCGGTCATTGGGCAGTCTCAGGTCATTGGTGTGAAGTGAGAAGAGGTGGGTGGATAAGATGGGATCTTGAAGGACTCCCTAGTTATTAGGGAGAACAGTCGATTTCCACTCGGCAGACTGGAACAATGCGGAAGGTAAAACAATCTCTAAGCCAAGAAATAATCCGGTCGGATGTGTGGTTGAGGAGGAGATGGCGGGACTGTGTTGAAAGCAGAGGAGTAGTTGCTTGTTTACACGCCCTACTTTGCATCTTTCCATTTGCGCGGCCTGTTTTGCACCTCGTTGGAGTAACAAGCCAAACGTATGGTAGAAATGGGAGTTTTTTAAGTCTCTTCCGCGTCCATCTGCCCTACTGACAAAATTAATATCAACATCCTCGTATTACAGGGGTCCCTGTATTTTATTTTCTCAGTGGATGTACATATTCAATGTTGCAGGTATTTGTACAACGTTTATTTTCTTAATCCCACTTCAATCTTGGTCACTTTTATTCGGCCCTTTGTAGGAATTCCGAGCATTATTTTCACGGAATGACTGAATAGTATCGAAATCCTGAAGGAAGTAGGATTTGATGTCACCCGGATTCGCGGTCTTTGCATGATGATACCACGTTGGGCATAATATGTGAAGACAACCTGAGACAGGTTGAGCATGAGGGAAGAAAAGCAACACA